AACGTTGTTCCTTCATTATAAATATTGTTAAAGGAGCTGTGACCACCATGGGCTCCCACTGAACAGAATGTGCAGGGGGAGGCCGAGACAGACTTTGATTTCAGCTCTTTTCTGGTTATCACTTCACTGATGACCCTGGAGTTGACAGGTCTCTTACATTTGGCTTTTTTTTTTTTTCCCCCAGAAAGTTTCTCTTCATTTAGCATAAATGTTTGGTCTGCAGGAAGTTGGCTGGGTTCATCTCACCAACTCCAAAGGCTAAGGACCATAGTTAATATTAGTGCTTGTGCATTGCCTTAGCCTGAATCCCTAATGAATGCTGAGATGCTTTGTGACTTTAACCATTTTAGTTCCATTTGGATTATTAATAGCATCATGATCTTTTTCAGGAGGAAAACAGATTATAGTACCCAAGGTCTCTGACCCTTCTCCCTACTTGCTGAGAAAGATTAGGCTCCACAAATGTCTGAAAAGACACAAGTATTCAATCCGTATCTCAACTAAGGTTCCCTCTCCCAGTGGTGCCCCACTAATCCCTAGTTATTATATGTATGTATTAATAATATATATGTGTACATACATATATAATTAGCCAGCCATGTTTTAGATTATTCATGTTGTCTTGACAGTGTTTTCACTTTCAAATTGGAGATGGGTGAACTTGAAATTTTATCACACGAGTAAAACTTTATAAATTTCCTCCCCAGCTCCATTACCTTCTATCCACCCCCAGTAGATTCACCATAGAGTGTTTATAGAACCAATTACATACTAAGAAATGATATGGACTCCCTTCATGTCTCAGTAGCCTTGTGAGGAAGGTGATATTGCTGTTTTGATTTCCTTGAAAGATTCAGACACCTTGCCTTAGGGAGTGAAGGGACTTGCTCAAAGCTACACAATAGGCACGGTTAGAAGCAGAGATAAAGTGCAGGGCCTCTACTTCAAACCCTCTACTCTTCTGCCTGCTTCATGTTTATTAGGAATATTTGCCATTCATTCATTCTGCCAACATTATTGAACATTTGTTTATGTCAGGCACTAGGGATTACTAAGATAACTAAAGCAGAGTTCTTAGGAGCTCAAATTCTGGTGAGGGAGAAAGCTCAGTTAACTGTAGTAAGGGATACTAAATTACTGAGATATTTAACAGTGCAGTGGTTGAAATAGGGAACTCTGAGGGCATGGAGGAGAGCTGTTTCAACTTGTTCTCAGGGCCTCAGGGAAGCCTTCTTAGAGGAAGTGGGAACGAGTGTGAGGTAAAAAGGTAGGTCTCAATAAAAAAGAGCTGACCTTTCTTGGGTGGTGGTGAGAACAGAGAGTGTGCCGTGAAGCCCTTGGGCACACTGTGAGAGTACAAGGTGGTGGGGCCCTTCCTGCCCATCCTCAAATGCCATAGTCCTCCCCTCTATTTTATGCAAATCTTTGCACCTAATCATGTTGTTGCCAAGTCCCATTGCTGGTACTTTGTGTCTTAGCTGAACAAGCTAAAGAAGTCTTCAGGGGAAATTATCTACTGTGGACAGGTGTTCAAGAAATCCTCCTTGCAGGTGAATAACTTTGACACCTGACTGCACTATGACCTCCCCCCCCAGCAGCACCCACCGCACATACCAGGAGTACCTGGACCTGACAACTCCAGGCGCTGTCACCTGGTGTTACCAAGACATGGGCAACTGACACCATGCCCAGGCCCACTTGATCCAGATCATGAAGGTGGAGGAGATTTCAGCCAGCCAGTGCTGCTGACTGGCAGTCTAACAGTTTGGTGATTCCAAGATCAAGTTCCTACTGCCCCACCAGGTCTTACCTCAACCAGTACAAGCCATGCTTCACCACCAAGAGGCCCAACACCTTCTTTTAGATGCAGAGCATCCCTGTCCTCAGGTCTGCCCAAGGGGAAACAAACAAAAAAAGGTGAGAGATGCTTTTAGGTAGAGGGGAGGGGGAAGATATACCTTTCTTTTCTAGGCCCTGTTAAAACACTTCAAATACTTTCGAGTAAGCCCCCCAGAAAGTTTGATGTATGTATGTACATATGTTGCTTGGGATTCAAAAAGCCACATTCCCAAATGTAAAAATGCAGTCTTGTAAGATGTGGATATAGGGAAGACAGCAAGAATAGCAGGTTTGGAGAGGAAATTCTTGAGTTTAGTTTTTGGATGTGTTGAATTGAGATGTTTTTGGAAGTTCAGGTGAAGGTACACAAGCATTTGGCTGAGAAGTGGTCATTTCAGTTCAAGAAAGAAACCAGATTGGAGATGTAAACTTAGGAATTGTCATCGTTCCGCAAGACAGTGAAATCAGCATGCAAGCAGACAAGTGAGAAGGCCAAAATATGAATCTTGAAAAATATCAGTGGTTGAAGGATAAGCAGAGAGAAGTTACCCTCAAAGGAGACTAAGAAGGACTCCCCAGAGAGGAAGGAAGAAAATAAAGGGAGTGTGGTGTCACAAAACCCTAGGGAACAGAGCATTTCAAGAAGAGGGAGGGCTTAATACAGTCTAACATTGGTGTCAGGCATATTGTTTTCGATGACACATTCCATTGGATTTGGCATCAGGGAAGCACTGTTAGCCTTTCTGAGAGCAATTTCAGTGGGGGGTGTGTGTGTGTGTCAGACTCTCGACTGTAGGAGTAGAGGAGTGCGTAGAAGGGTAGGATTGGAGATCACCTTTTATGAGTTGGCCTTTGAACAATGGTAGAGCAATTTTTCTACTGGTTTCTCTGAAGAAGAGGAGAGATGTAGGAGAGTAGCTGAGAGGGATGCAGTGTTGAGGGAGGAGATTTTAAGGTTGAAGAGGGCATTAGGATGCTGATTTGGTGTGTTTGGCATTATAGAGGAGGCAACCAGTTGAGCAAGTCTCCCAAGGTGGGGGAAGGGTGGTGGAGTCCAGGGTAGAAATGAATTAGCCTAAGCAAGAGAAGGAATCCTCTTCCCTTTTCACAGGAAGGACTGAAGAATGGCTCAAGACCATGGTGGATAGAAGGAATCAAGACCCCAGGATAAGTTTCTGAGTGCTAACCATGTGCCAGCACTGTGCCATTCACATACATAAAGGAACTGTTGTGATCCCCATTCTTTTTTTTTTTTATTCTTATGTTAATCCCCATACATTACATCATTAGTTTTAGATGAAGTGTTCCATGATTCATTGTTTGTGCATAACACCCAGTGCTCCATGCAGAATGTGCCCTCCTCAATACCCACCACCAGGCTAACCCATCCTCCCACCCCCCTCCCCTCTAGAACCCTGTTTGTTTTTCAGAGTCCATCATCTCTCATGGTTCGTCTACCCCTCCGATTTCCCCCGCTTCATTCTTCCCCTCCCGCTACCTCCTCCTCCTTCTTCTTTTTTTTTTCTTAACATATATTGCATTATTTGTTTCAGAGGTACAGATCTGAGATTCAACAGTCTTGCACAATTCACAGCGCTTACCAGAGCGCATACCCTCCCCAGTGTCTATCACCCGGTCACCCCATCCCTCCCACCCCACCCCCCACTCCAGCAACCCTCAGTTTGTTTCCTGCAATTAAGAATTCCTCATATCAGTGAGATCATATGATACATGTCTTTCTCTGTTTGACTTATTTCGCTCAACATAATACCCTCCAGTTCCATCCACGTCGTTGCAAATGGCAAGATCTCATTCCTTTTGATGGCTGCATAATATTCCATTGTACATATATACCACATCTTCTTTATCCATTCATCTGTCGATGGACATCTTGGCTCTTTCCACAGTTTGGCTATTGTGGACACTGCTGCTATAAACATCGGGGTGCACGTACCCTTTCGGATCCCTACTTTTGTATCTTTGGGGTAAATACCCAGTAGTGCAATTGCTGGATCATATGGTAGCTCTATTTTCAACTTTTTGAGGAACCTCCATACTGTTTTCCAGAGTGGCTGCACCAGCTTGCATTCCCACCAACAGTGTAGGAGGGTTCCCCTTTCTCTGCATCCCTGCCAACATCTGTCGTTCCTGACTTGTTAATTTTAGCCATTCTGACTGGTGTGAGGTGGTATCTCATTGAGGTTTTGATTTGGATTTCCCTGATGCCTAGTGATGTCGAGCACTTTTTCATGTGTCTGTTGGCCATTTGGATGTCTTCTTTGGAAAAATGTCTGTTCATGTCTTCTGCCCATTTCTTGATTGGATTCTTTGTTCTTTGGGTGTTGAGTTTGATGAGTTCTTTATAGATTTTGGATACTAGCCCTTTATCTGATATGTCATTTGCAAATATCTTCTCCCATTCTGTCGGTTGTCTTTTGGTTTTGCTGACTGTTTCCTTTGCTTTGCAAAAGCTTTTTATCTTGATGAAGTCCCAATAGTTCATTTTTGCCCTTGCTTCCCTTGCCTTTGGCGATGTTTCTAGGAAGAAGTTGCTGCGGCTGAGGTCAAAGAGGTTGCTGCCTGTGTTCTCCTTTAGGATTTGGATGGACTCCTGTCTCACACTGAGGTCTTTCAACCATTTGGAGTCTATTTTTGTGTGTGGTGTAAGGAAATGGTCCAGTTTCATTCTTCTGCATGTGGCTGTCCAATTTTCCCAACACCATTTGTTGAAGAGACTGTCTTTTTTCCATTGGACATTCTTTCCTGCTTTGTCAAAGATGAGTTGACCATAGAGTTGAGGGTCCATTTCTGGGCTCTCTATTCTGTTCCATTGATCTGTGTGTCTGTTTTTGTGCCAGTACCACGCTGTCTTGATGATGACAGCTTTGTAATAGAGCTGGAAGTCCGGAATTGTGATGCCGCCGGCTTTGCTTTTCTTTTTCAACATTCCTCTGGCTATGCGGGGTCTTTTCTGGTTCCATACAAATTTTAGGATTATTTGTTCCATTTCTTTGAAAAAAGTGGATGGTATTTGGATGGGGATTGCATTGAATGTGTAGATTGCTCTAGGTAGCATTGACATCTTCACAATATTTGTTCTTCCAATCCATGAGCATGGAACGTTTTTCCATTTCTTTGTGTCTTCCTCAATTTCTTTCATGAGTATTTTATAGTTTTCTGAGTACAGATCCTTTGTCTCTTTCGTTAAATTTATTCCTAGGTATCTTATGGTTTTGGGTGCAATTGTAAATGTGATCCCCATTCTATAGGTGGGGAAAGGGAGGCTCAAAGAAGTCCAGTTAGTGTCCCAAAGCCATAGCTGGTATATACACCTGGGATTTACAGACAGTATAGCTCCAGAGCCTGCCCTCTGACTACATGTTCTGCTATACAAGGAGGCAGGGCTAGTGACTCAGGTAAAAATTAGGAAGCAAAAAAAAAAAAAAAAAAAAAGCAAGCTTCAGGAAGTGGTGTCAGTAGGTCTGACTTGGGTTTCCTTTGTTGCCCTGGTTTGTCCCTCCCCAAGCTGTCTCTCTCTTTCTACTCAATGAAATTTCACCATGGTCCTTAGAGGTCAAATAATGTCTTTATTTTGAAGGTGTCAGTATTTGACTTCTCTTCATCCACTGTCTATATTCATCATCTCAGAGTGATGTTGTGTAGTAGTCAATGTTTTTCAAACTAGAGTTTTCATATAAATTTTAGGGGTTCTGTGCTTTTTCTATAGGAATTTACGTTCTTTTTAAGAAAATCTTAGAAAATATTAATATAACTATACTTTGAGTCGCTGAGATGATCATTTTGTAATTAGCTCTTGTCCTACAACTTCAGAACCCATATTGCATTTGTATTTATATTTGCATTGGCACCAAGAATCCAAGTATGTTTATTGATTTGGGCTCATGGGAAAAGATCAGAAGCTTAAGATGTAAATAATATATCCATACCAAGTGAAAGGCAAATGGCTTCACTCAGCACATATTTTGTACTTGGTGCTAAGGAGAAAACAGATACAGGAAGAATCTAGAATATCAGTCATGCTTTCAGAGAGATTATATTCTTTTTGAGAAAATTAGACTATCATAAATGAAAACATTTGATATGTTTTTAGGGCTAAAGTGGGTGAGGTAAAAATGTGGCAAAAATATGAAGAAAAAAAATTCTTTTTTTAGTCTAATTTTCTCAAATAGAATATTCTGCCTCAGCATGAATGGCCCATTATCGCCACACAACAGTGTTCTGATTCCTTGCCCATATTGGGGAGTTGGAGAGTCAAGGCACTACAACCATTCCTTACCCTGTTCATCCTTGCCTCTCATTATCCACTGGGGTGGCAAATGCTGTTAGCTTGAACCCCTTGGAAAAAGATAGAAAACTGTCTTCCGCTGAGAAGTATTTACTAAATATCCATTAAAGCTCTAGCTGTTGTGAATGCAAAAAAAAAAAAAAGTTCATATGCTTTCTTGTTAAGTGTGCCTTAGTGAACACATTCCTTTCCCATGACCATATCCAATGCTGGAGTACACGGGAAACAAAAATGAACAGAATTATTTAAGGGAGGTAGGGCAAGAAGAAAGATATCTTACCCTACGAGCAGAGATTTCAGAAAGAAAGAATTTAATGAAAGAATTTAAACAGTTTCTTTAGAAAGAAAAAAAATGGCTTAGTCTTGAGGACACATGATACATTCTATTCCATTCAAAACCCACTACCTACCTCATCACCAAATTGAATGTTGATACCAGTATGTCTATTGAGCATGTAGGAGTAGAGTGGAAGGTGATTGGGTCTGTAGTCCCAGCTATATTCTTATCTCAGAAGAGGTGAAGAGAAGAAGGCAATAGCTGGGACTCAGGTAATGGGGGAAAAGAGTAAAGAGAGCATCAGTTGGGCTACTAAGGACAGTCATGCTGTCCTGTCTTTTTATGGGCCTGACAGATGTCTCTGAATCTAACCAGAGCAGCAACTCCTCCTCCCTTAGAGGGATCAGGGCTGGTAAGTTGGGCAGAGGAGGGTCTGGTGGGAAGAAGGGGCTGCAGAGTCCCTGCCTCTGATGGGTTTGAGGAGGCACCAACATGTATGTGTTGTCATTATAGGATCAAAGGTATGTTAGAGTTAACACCAGTGTGAGATTCTTCATAGTGCAGATTGTGTTGCTCAGCTTTTCAAGAACAGAATTCAATTCGTTTTCTTAGAGACAATGAGGCTGAGAAATCAGTTCACATGCACAAATCCCACAGGAGATTGATGCTCAAACTGGAGTGATAAGGTAATAATTGATAGTGGGAGAGTGTGACTGGCATTAGCTTTACACACCAGGCACACTCTCCATTATATTTGTACACTCAGGAGATTATATTACGGTTACAAAGTTGCTAGATGAGTCCCAAGTTTGAGTAGAAGAATTGAATGTTGTTGCACAATAACTTGATGAATTGTCCTTCTCCAGTCTAAGGATATGTCTGTCATAGGAGTCAATACTGGTTATCTAGACTTAGAGGACAGTCTTGTGGACAGTAATTTTACTGTAAACTAGAAGCTTTTATTATTTTATTTCTTCTTTTCATTGAGATATAATTGATGTAACTTTGTATTAGTTTAGGTGTACAACATAATGATTCAGTATTTGTATATATTGCAAAAAGATCATAATATGCCTAGTTAACACCTATCACTACACATAATTATAAATTTTGTTTGTCTTGTGATGAGAGCTTTTAAGATATGCTCTCTTAGATCATATGATGTAGTTTGTAGATCATCTGACAATAGTTATTGGATTGATGCATTGCAGAGAACTTTTTGGGGATGCACTTTAGTTTTATGTTACAAGTCATCTCTGGCTCTGAGTAACATTCTAGGATGACTTGTATCAGTGGTCAGTGCACAAAATTTATGTTGACATTTATTTATTTATTTTAAGATTCTTTTTTTTGTTTGACAGAGATAGAGCACACAAGCAGTGGGAACGGCAGAGGGAAAGGGAGAAGCAGATACAGGGAACCCGACTTGGGGCTTGATCCCAGGATCCCAAGATCATGACCTAAGCTGAAAGCAGACGCTTAACCTGCTGAGCCACCCAGGTGCTCCTATGTTGGCTTTTACTAATTTCAGTTTCTTAAAGCAATATCTTCTTTCCTGGTCTCATAATTCTGGGTGTACCTTGTATTTGGAGCTTAACAGTTCAATATACTGAGCACAGATAAGAGCAGAATACAAGAAAGACAGTGAGTTAACTTTGCCAAGTTCTGCCCTACTTACTGAAGTAGAAAAAGCCCCCTTTTCTACCTTATGAAATTGAGTTTAGTAGGGGTCAGGAATGCCTAAGAACACATGGTTGGAAGTGAAGGATCTTAAAGTCCAACTTAGGCTTGAATCTAAAGGAAGCACTTGTGGAATTAAAAACTTATCTCTTCTAATTGAAGCATTTCATATAGAAGGCAGGACTTCAGCTGAGTCCTGAAGGAGAAGGTAGGAGTAGGGAAAGGAGAAAATTTTGATTTAATGAACAATTCTGTATTGCCCTGGCTAATCCACCTCTTGGTTTTTGTATTCAGTTCTGGCCACTATACTTTTCAAAGAATGTGGACAAACTGGGGTATATTTACAGCTGTGGTTCTAATCTACCATGTCATATTCACAGGAGCAAAATATTCACTTGGATATTTTTAGTTTCTTCCCAGGCTATGACACAAAATAAAGTAGAAGGTAAGTTATTCTTAATTCTGGGTACAGTTGCTGTAGTAATTTACCTTTTCTTTTCTTATTGATCAGAAGTATGATGGTGTTGCAGAATGATGGTTGAAATCCACTGACTTAAAGATCAGAACCCAGGATGGTGATGGAACCAAAATCATGTTCTATGAGGAATGATTCAAGGAACTAGGCATCTTTAGAAGAGAGTGTTCGGGACATGGTAGGGAATTTCAAATATTTGGAGGTTTGTCATATGAAAGAATTAGATTTGTCCCATGAGACCCCAAGGGGTATAATTAGCATCATGAATTTAAACTACAGGGCAAAGAAACTCTGACTCCAAATAAGGAAAACATTTCTAAGGTGATGTGATAAGGTGGAATGATCTCCCTTGTTAGGTAGCGACCTCCCCATTGCTGGGACTGTTGGAGCAAGGGCTGGAGAACCATTTGTTATGGATGTTGCTGAAGACACTTAGGTTCTGGACCAGATATGCTTTAATGATTCTTTTTTTTTTTTTTTTAAGATTTTATTTATTTGACAGAGACACAGCGAAAGAGGGAACACAAGCAGAGGGACTGGGAGAGGGAGAAACAGGCTTCCCACAGAGCAGGGAGCCCGATGCGGGGCTCGATCCCAGGACCCTGGGATCATGACCTGAGCCGAAGGCAGACGCTTAATGACTGAGCCACCCAGGCGCCCCTGGACCAGATATGCTTTAAAACTCATTTCAACTCTGAAATTCTAAGACTAAAGAAAAAATTGTCAATTATTGATTTCTTATTATGTATAAACACCAGAGTATTAACAACTCATTAATAACCCATAAATCAAAGCTTTGAAATCTTTGACTTGTAGGAGTCCAGCCATGTACTTTCTCTTCAAAACTCAAAAGCTGAAAAGGTCCTGGCTTCTAACGACATTACAATGTTGATTGTAGATTATTGATTGTGTTTGAAAAAATTATCCTTGAAAAGGAAAGTTTTTCAGGAGCCATTGCATTAGAATAAAGGAGTCCTTGAGAATAAAGGGAACTTAAGAATAGAGGTGTCCTTGGAATTTGTCAAGAGTTTATTTTCCCCCCAATACCAAGCTTATGATAAATGATTATTAAAGTAAGGTAGTCATCTATTTGCTGTCTACAGATTTAGAATATAAATGTTATGGGAATGTACAAATTTGCTTCCAGAAAGAGTATATAGAGAGAAAAGGCCAAGTTGTCTGAGGTTGTCTTTGTCAGTATGGCATTTTTGTTTAATGTAACATGGAACATTTGTATTGGACCTGCTGTCGTTATTTTAAGTTACCTTTGGCTTTCAGTGCTTGTAGAACAGAAAGTATTCTTAAATTCAGATATTATAATGGACATCAGAGTAGTAAATTTTTATCATATGCATTTTTTCTATTTAGTAGGAAGCAGCAGTCTCATTGCAATTACTCTAAGTCAATGAGATGTATAAGTAGTGAGGTTTTACCATACCAAATCACATTTTGGTTAAATTCAGTTTTTCTTACCTAAAAAAAAAATTGAAAAAGGAGCAAAGGGGAAGGTCACTGAGTGCTGATGGCTGATGACCACTGAGAAAATTGCTTAGCAGGTTAGATAATGTAATGTTATAAGAGAAAGAGTTTGAAGAATAATTCTCATTTATTTCAGTCTTCCATTTCTGTATTCCCACCAGAGTATCTAGAACACAGTAGGCATTCAACCAATGTTTGGGGATGAATGACTTTTAGGAAAAGGAAATCTCTAAATTTCAGTTTTTCCTTTTACTGAGACTTTTTCTGCATGACTGATTGAAAAGTGTAAATTTCAGTCATCATCTAGTTGTTAAATATTTAGGCTGCCAGATCATTTATTTGATTGATGCTTATACCTTTAGAATTGACTGACTGCTTTGGCTCAGGGTAGACACAGCGTGAGTCATATGCTGCAGTTCTTGTCAGTCAATGGTTGCATTTCTACACGTAAACAGTTGACTTATGTTAGTCACATCAGGCACAGACATAAATCATGACAGTTCAATAATTGGTACTTGGGCCTTTTCTGGTTGGAATGATTGCTTGGCCATTCTGATATTGATGACACTGAATACCCAGTGATTAAACAACACTGGCCAGCTGAGTAGAGGAGTTTCCTACTCAGAGAAGATCTTAAAATACAGTGTAAAATAGAATTGGCCAGTGAATGGGATTCATCTAAGTGGGAATGCAATTCTAGAACATGGTGGAGAGTGACTCCACTGAGAGAAGCTGAGCAAAGTTGGAATAAAGTAGGACACAATAATGTATTTTTTAGGTTTCTGGTTGTAGGGGACAGACTTTAAGGTGGTCACCATGGTCTCTAACTTCTGGCATTTATGCCTTTGTATAATCCCTTCTTGTGTGTGGGCAGGATTTTTGACATATTTCTAAGCAATAGAATATGGCAAAGGTGCTGGGATATCACCTCTTTGATGACATTACATTATGTAAGGCTCTGTCTTGCTAGCAGACTTGCTAGCAGAATTGCTTTAGAGTCTTCCTGTCTGTACTAGCTTTGAAGAAGCAAAATTCCATGATCCTACAACTGTAAGCATATGAATTCTGCTAACAACCTGAGTGAACCTGAAGTGGATTCTTTCCCAGCTGAACTTCCAGATGAGAATCCAGGCCTTGATCATAGCCTTGCAGGGGACCCAGCTAAGCTGTGCCTGGATTCCTGACCCACAGAAACTGGGAGATGATAAATGTGTGTTGTTTTCCACTGTGAAGTTTCTGGTAATTTGTTACACTACTAGAAAATGCATGTACTAGTCATTGTTCTTACCTAAAAATCTTGATTATGGTGTTGGTATTCAGAATCTACATCCAGGAGTCACCTGGAAGATGCCATAATATGCTAACTCCCCTGGATTAGTTTACATAGATACTGAATATTGACTTGTCCCAAGGAAGAAAAAGAATAAAGGATATGGAGCCCATATTCCTGTTGTCAAGTCTAATCATTTGTATGTTTGAATTTTAACTAGGACATTAGTGTTTAAAGAAAAAAGAAATATGATTGAATTCCCATACATGTAAAATCTTGGATAGGAATTTATGGTCAGTGTGGTAGATATTCTTTGATTCTTTGCTCACCATTGTTTCCATCTTCCTTGCCCTTGCCTGGCTTCTCTGTGGGTGGGATATACTTCCCTGTCCCACTGATGTTGGGCTTAGCCATATAAATTGCTTTGGTCAGGGGCACCTCAGTAGCTCAGTTTGTTGAGCATCCGACTCTTGATTTCAGCTCAGGTTATGATCACAGAGTTGTGGGATCAAGCCCTGTGTTGGGCTCCACACTCAGCAGGGAGTCTGCTTGAGATTCTCTTTCTTTCTCCCTTTGCCCCTCCCCTCCAAATAAATAAATCTTTAAAAAAATTTAAAAAAATAAATTGCTTTGGCCAGTGGAACATAGTAAAAGTGATAGCTTACCAGTGCTGAACTGAGGCTTAAAAGGCGTGGGGAATGTCTGCCAGCAATTTTGCCTTCTTGAGAAAAGCACACCTAAGGTAGCCAGTGCATTTTTTAGACTGAATTCCTGAATGAGAAGCACCTGGAACACATCTGAATTTGACCTGCTTGAAACCAGACTGTCCTAGCCAGAGACCTATCAGTGAGAAGTAAATATATATATATATATATATTTAAAGATTTTACTTACTTATTTGAGAGAGAGAATGAGAGACAGAGAGCACGAGAGGGAAGAGAGTCAGAGGGAGAAGCAGACCCCCTGCTGAGCAGGGAGCCCGATATGGGACTCGATCCCGGGACTCCAGGATCATAACCTGACCTGAAGGCAGTCGCTTAACCAACTGAGCCACCCAGGTGCCCCGAAGTAAATATATATTGTTACAAGTGTCCAAGATTTGGGGATTATTTGCTCTACAGCTTATTGCAACATTTGGTGAATAATCAAAAGTCCAGAAGCTCATTCGTATTAGATTCTAAATTAAGCTAGTACTGTTTTTATCCCTTACTACCAGAAGTATGAATAAAGTTGTTAATTATTTTCCATCTCCTGTCCTATTGAATACTAGTGTTGTTTTAGATATTGTTCTGTCAAACCAAAGATTCTATATTCATGGAAGTTGAAAGAAGACTGATAATGTTTATTAGCTCTAAGAAATTCTGCCTTGAAGAAAGGACTCCTACTAAATATAATTTAACCCAATATTTCCAATCTTTTTTGACTGTGGAACCCTTCTCACCCCCAGAACAACAATTCATACCCTGTTCCTTAGAACCAGTGAATACTTCTATTCATGGTAGCATGTGCTCACCTCTCTGGCCTTGTCATATTGCAAGCAGGTGGTGTGCATTATAAATGTGGAATGGTGCCTTCAAAACTCAAGGTTATTAGGCAGATACCACATAGATCACTGATTAGTATATCTCTACATGAGATAACACAAAACCTGGGTAAGAGAGATGCCCAGATTAAGGCAGATGATAGGGTCTTGTTATTGCACAGTCCTGGATCTTCAGTTAAGTCAAGATCATGGGGAGTCAGTGCCACTTGTTCAAGTTGTAATGGGTTTATATGAATCCTGTGAATGATTGGTTCAAATATGATATGGAATGATTCCATGTTTGGTCCAAATTGGTCTGAAATTGCTGATTTGGAGGTCTGACATGTAAGTCTAAGGGATCACTTGGTAGAAGTCCGCATGAAGTGTGTGCTCAGACCCATGGGGTTACCAGCATTTCCTGCTCTCACTAAATTTTCCAGGGGGCAGGATGGGGGGTGGAGATGAGCGATCCTTCTGACTTATGGCTTAACATAGGGATCTCAATTGCTTATAAATGCATTAAAAATGAATAAATATATTTCAACATGAAAACACTTTTAAAACATTCCCTAAATACATTAAAACCCCAATTTGGCAGTGAGAAGTGACTTCTTGTGTTCCCTTAGGGCTATATCTTCAAAGTACAGTTAATTCCTGATAATCTCATATCTGCCTCTTGAAGATACTCAGGTATTAAAGAGATTAAAGAGAGGCCACCGTTGGAATATATCCCTAGATTGAACACTCGCAGTCACATAACCAAAACATAAAACTGCCCCGATTTCCCCAAAATGCTGACTCTGACCCTTCAATAAAACTTAAGTTTTCTATGGGACCTTTCAGCTTCCTAGCTAATCAGCTACAAGTAAGTTTATGACAAGTAATAAATAAGTAAGCTTATGCATGA